CATTTAAAATGTAGGCAACGGCATGAAAAAAGTGGTTTCTACTTTTACTTTTATACTTTAAGTAAATTTACAAGCCTGTACTTTGTTACTTTTACTTAAGTAAAGAAGATTAATCAGTACTTCCACTTTTACCAGAGTATTTTTTAACACAAGTATCTGTACTTTTACTCAAATACGGAAAGTGAGTACTTTTGCCATCTCTGGTTCTTGGTTCCAAAACCAAGAACAAAAACATATTTTGTGGACAATTAAATTTACTGTAAGCTGAATTCACAGGAATAGAAATAACAAAGTGAAAGAAGGTAAATATAGTTTAAAAAGCAAAGAACCTGATTTAAAGGCTGATTTAAAGTCTTTGCCTGCATGTCCTATGCTGCCTGGTTGGACTCTTTTCTGATTTCTTAATAACTTGTTGATTTCCACTTGGTGCAGTAAGGTTGTGAGAAAGTCATTAGAAATATTTACAGTGTTAATTAGTAGAAATGTCAGATCTTTTATCCCCAGTGGGCTCAGATATAACTTTCTGTTTTAAAAAATAACCTCGTTTTCATCGACTCAAATCGGACACAATCTGAACTGCGACAGTGGAAATCAGGTTTTATTTTAATTAGGTTATTGTTTGATCTCTAATGATTATTACTATTACATTCTGCATAAAGATGTGAAATTCTCATTACAATTGATTTATTAACACTTAATGTCCTAATTAAAACACAGCAGTACATTTAAAAGCGATTAAAAAAAGCAATAAGGTACGTTTTGAAGGACTTAAACATTATAATTTAAAATAGGAAAATACGCTATTGGTAAGTTTTAACTAAATGCACATGTTGAATTTATTCACAGAAACAATAAAATACTGGATTTGAGTAGCAGCTGCCACCTTCATGCATACAAAAACAAACATTACATCCTACCCCCCCCCCACATTAAATTGCCTCTTGAGTTCCTTCCTTTGCTCCTACATCACTTTGCTGTCATTGGTGTTTGTGAAAGAGCTGCTTCATTCCTGTTCTTGATAATAAAGCTATTAACTTTTCCCAGAATGTCACAGTCGCTCCTTCTCCCTGCATCCACTCTTCCTTAGAGACACTTGTTCCTGGAATGCCTTGTTTTCCTCTGGGAATACTGTGGGAAAGTCCTTTTCTCCTTTAAACAAGAAAGAATGTAAAGCAAAGTAGAAAAAAAGCTTCCAGGTTTTTATGCAACCTTGACTATGAAAAGCTTTCTGTCAAATAACAAACGATAGAAGAGTCAATATTTTATATTTTTAGCAATAAGTTAATGTATTAAAAATATTTCACCATAAATGCTGCAGTTGAAGATAAAGTTTGCTAAGCAGCTTAGAGAATAAGGGTTTAGCAAAAATAAAAAACAGGGTAACAAAAACAGAACAATTCTTTAATCTATAACAATAATTTTAGTTTACATTTAGCAGGGACATCATGAGTGTTCAGGGTTTTATTCACTATCTAAAAGGAAGATGTAGATAAGTGGACTGTAGCTGCTAATAAAAAATAATACTTAAAACACTTCAATAAACTTTGTGTCATGTTGGGTTCAAGGCGTCTAAGGTCCCGTCCACACGAAGTCAAAACGAACACGAAACGCTAATATTTTCCAGAACGTTTGTCGTAAA